TGAATTTGCCCAAGGTAGGGGTGAGGACCACTTCCCTGGGAAGTTGGTTCCAGATTTTGACCACCCTAACTGTAAAATATTGCCTTCTGATCTCTAACCTAAACCTATTCTCCATCAGCTTATTACCACTGTTCCTTGTCACCCCAGGTGGTGCTGGGGAGAAAAGGGCTCTACCTATTTGCTGTTGATTTCCCCTGATGAGTTTGTAAGCAGCTTCTAGGTCCCCCCTTGGCCTCCTCTTGCTGAGGCTGAACAGGTTCAGATCCCTCGGTCTCTCCTCGTAGGGCCTGTCCTGCTGCCCTCTCACCAAGGGGGTGGCCTTCCTCTGAACCCTCTCGAGGCTGGCCACATCCCTTTTGAAGTGCGGCGCCCAGTACTGGACACAGTACTCCAACTGCGGTCTGACCAAAGTCACATAGAGAGGGGGGAGTATCACTTCTCTGGACTGGCTTGAGATGCACCCTTGGATGCATGACAAGGTATGGCTGGCCTTGCTGGCTACGGTCTGGCATTGGGCTAGCCTTGCTGGCTGCGGTCGAACATGAGCTGCCAATGCTAATCTTGGAGTCAATGATGACTCCAAGATCCCTTTCCATCTCTGTGCTTTTCAAGAGAAGAACTCCCCAGCCTGTATATATGCTGTGGATTCCTTCTCCCAAGGTGCAGCACCCTGCATTTGTCTACGTTGAACCCCATCCTATTCTCATCTGCTCACTTTTGTAGTCTGTCTAAATCTAGTTGCAGCCTCTCTCTCCCTTCAAGTGTGTCCACCTCGCCCCACATCTTAGTGTCATCAGCAAACTTGGACAGCATGAATGAAGATGTTAAACAGATGTCATAAGTAAGAGGAAGAGCAGATAAACCAATGGTTCCTTACAGAATGTAGAATGCAATGTAGTTAAAGATAATGCAGAAAAGGCTGAAGTACTTATTGCCTTTTTCACTTCAGTCTTCACAAGTTGGGACCGCTACCAGATGACAACTGCAGTTGACAGCAAGGATAGGAAAGGGAGCAAACAGCCCAGGTTAGGGTTTACTTAGATGTTTTCAAGTTGGCAGGGCTAGAGGGGATGTCCCCTGGGGTACTGAAGGAACTGGGTAAGAATTTTTAGAAGTGCACTGATACATCAGTCCAATATTGGATCAGTGCTGATGTAAAGAAAATTGGCTGTATTGGAAATCAGCCTGATGGGGCCAATAATTTAGCCAATTTAAATGTCAGTGTGTGCGTGCAGCTGCAGCACAGCACTCGGGCAGTGAGGAGCAGAGCCCAGCATTGTGGAGGGCTGCCTCCAGCTGGTAGGTCTGTTTGTGGTGGAAGGGGAAGAGGGAGGGAAGGGGTGGGGGTGGGGGGGATTTTCTTCTATAAGCTGACAGGCTCTGTGGCTGTGGGGAGAGCAGCAGATGCAATATACCTTCAATTTGGCAAGGCTTATGGCACTCTCTCTCACAAGAAATCTTGTGAACAAGTGAAGGAAGTACAAACTAGGTGGAAGTACTGTAAATTGGATGCACAACTGATTGGATCATCGTGCTCAACAATGGCTCAATGTTTATTTGGGAGGGAGGTATCAAGTGGAATTCCTGGATCTAGTATTGTTCAGCATCTTCATTAATGATTTGGATGATGGGGGTTCAATGCATGCTTAGCAAACCTGCAGATGACACCAAGTTGGATTAACTTGCAGGTGTTCTGGAGAGCAGGCCTAGGATCCAGAATGATCTAGATGACTGGAAAAACGGTCTGCAGTCAAATGAAATTCAGTGATGAGTCCTGCACTTGGAACAGGAGAAATGGATGTATAAAAACAAACTAGGAAATAATTGGCTAGGCTACAGGACTGCCAAGGAGGGTGTGGGAGTTACAGTAGACTATGAACTGAATATGAGCTAAGTGTGCTCACTTTTTGCAAATAACAGCATACTGGATTGTATTAGCAAGAGTGTCACTTGCAAATCAAGAGAAGTATTTAGCACATGGTGTACATGGAACAGTGCTTTGTCTAGCAGTAGATCCAGGAGATTTGGAGGTACAGTTGCATTGCTCTCTTGATTGCTGCTTCACTTTGTTTAAAACAAACCAACAGCGGGGACAGCTGCATTTCGGGGATAGTTGCAGGAGTTGGCGTACTTCATAGCATTAATATCTACTTGATTTTTCTGCTAATCTTTCTATTCCATAGGTGTTAACAGCTTTTGATCTTCCTCCAATCAAACTAGCCTTTTTTTTTTTTTTCCCCCCCTCCCCCCAACCATCCTTTCTGTTGCCTAGTCCTGAAAATTTGTTCTTGCTCACCTCCCAGCATGTCCAATGAAGGTGTGCTGCTCAGGAACCTGTACTGGGTGCCTTTGTTCCTGGGGGATTTGAACCCACAACAAATCGGACAGGGCAGCGAGGGGCAGGGCTAAAAGCAGGCTCAGTTGTATAGTGGTACAGCAGTTGGAAGCACGAGGGAGTTGCAAAGTTGAGGTGAAGAAGCAAGTTACCACAGTGACCCTTCTCTGGGTTATTCATTACAATGGGTAAGGGAGGTTGGATCAGCAGCCCAACTAAGGTGGCATAAAACTGGCGGCTGAGGGGTAGGTTTCCCTAGATAGGGGTGCTGCTAGCACAGGGGTGGGCAAAATGCAGACCGTGGGCCCTGCCAGGCCACTCTATCTGGCCCATGGGACCCCTAAAAATGTAGAAAACATATTTATCTGCCCCTGGCTGCCTGTCATGTGGCCCTCGATGGTTTGCCAAAACTCAGTAAGTGGCCCTCTGCCTGAAATAATTGCCCGCCCCTGTGCTAGCAGCTGAAGCAAGTCCTCCCCCAACTGTCTGCTTCCACATGTTGGGGGTGGAAGGCAATGGAAGCCAACTGTAGGCATGTTGTAGGTGGAGAGCAGTGGGTAAGGGGGATACTTACAGCTCTGTCCCCACCTGCCTCAATGGTTGGGGGCCATGAGAGGTGGGGGGACAGTTTGGCAGAGGTTTTGAGGAAAAGGGGCTTCTAGGGACCATGAAGGGCTGAATGGGGGAGGTCATGGGCACCAAGGACCTTTTGTGGGGAGGGTTGGGTCTGTGACGTAGGGTCGTTTCAGGCATGTAGGGGCAGGTAGAGCATGGGGCTGAGGACGGGGTGTCTGCAGTTAAAATGGGCTGTGAAGGAGGGGTTAGGAGCAAGAGGGATTGTGGGTGAGTGGGGCCCAGGATGTGAGGGGCTACAGAAAGATTTGAATGCTCAGAGGGGCAAAGGAGGGCTCAATGTGGTGTGAGTGGCCAGGGGGCTGGGGCATCATGGGGATGTCTGTGCAGGGTGCAGTGTATTCATGGAGGCAGTGAGGGGACAGGGTAGGACTCTGGGGTTTGAGGGAAATAGTGGGGTCTGATGATAACAAACAATTTGGGTACAATAGGGTGGAGCTTAGCATAGGGATGCAGTATATGGGATAATGGTGAACAGTGGAGGCAGGGGGCATATGAGGCAGAAGGCAATGCATAAAGAGCAGCATGGAGCATTTTGGGGCCATGGTGGAGTGTCTGGAGGGACTCGTGTGAGGCTGAAGGGAGTAGTTCTGTTCATTGCCGGGACTGGTTGCGGAGCTCCTTGGCACCAGGTGCCTACCCACCCTGGAGCTAACAGTCAGCTGCCACTGACTGCTATGCTTTTTTTTTTTTTTTTTTTTTTTTTCTTCTTCTTCCTTGGATCTTAAATTGATCAATATATGCTAGGTATCCAAGGGGCATTAGTAACATTTCTAGGGGTTTTTTTTATTATTGTTGAGGAAAAGCTTGTTATGGGATGAAACATGACACTGTACCTTCTGACCCCCTTTTTCAAAATCCTAGCTCTATTCGTGTCTGTGTCAAATTTTGGGCCCCGTACTTCAAGAAGGACGTGAATAGATTGGGAAGCAAGACTTTAGAGGAAAGGTTGAAAGAACTAGGGTTATCTAGTTGGCAAAGGAGAAGACTGAGGGGAGATTTGATAACAGCTTTCAAATCCTCAAGGGCAAGTTACAGAGGATGGAAATGAGCTTTTCAGTGTGGCCATAGGAGGCAGGACTAGGAGTAATGGCCTCAAACTACAGCAGAGGAAATTTTAAGTTGAAGATTAGGAGGAACCTTCTCACTGTGCGGGTGGTCAAGCAGGCTACTTAGAAAAGCTGTGGAATCTCCAACTTTGCAGGTCTTCAAGGGCAGGTTAGACACTGCTGCAATGGTTTAGTCGAGGACCTGCTTTGAGCAGGGGCTGGACTAGATAACCTTGTGAGGTCCCTTTCAGCCATACTTTAAAATCCTAACTTGAGTTTTGGTTCTCTTCTCATGCTATTGTTTTTAAAAGTGGATGAATCTGTGACATGGGCAACTGGTGCCTTCTGATACTGGGGGGCATAAGCAGCTGATCGCTGACTGTGGGGAGGGGATCTCCAAGCAGCCAATCGGAAGTGCCAGTGGCAAAACCAGAAGTGCCACCGATGCCTCTCTTGGTACCCCCACAATCTGGGGGGGGGTGCCAGCTGTCTCCCTCCACTCCCTAGCCAGTGAGGGCCAATCTCAGGGGGGCACGTGTTCCCCTGCCCCTGTACATGTCACCTGTGATCTGTGAGACTCTTGACATGCATTACAACCCCAATAACCATCAGAATGAGGGAGTGGGCTATGAGATGTGTAATCCATTGCTGGTATCTTGGGATCTCTTTGGGAAACCAAACTGCTGCTACCTGTAGGGATGGTAGCTAAACAGGTTCAGGAAGAGGTTTATTTGAGAGATTCTCGGTACAAGAACGTAATACTTCAGCAGTTTCAACAAACACAGTATACTGAAAGCCATCTAACCACAGCAGGCCTACATGTAGGTAATAGATGTGCTGAGGAAAAGATTTTTAAGATGTGGGGGGCAATAGACAATTGAGTAACAGTAATTTTTTTTTAGTGCTAGTTCCTCTGTATACTCCATTGCAGACACGTGCATGCTCCATTGCGTCTCAGGCCAGAGACTTTGTCAGAAGTATTCTTTCAGTCTGTCTATATGCTCTAGCCATCCTTGTGTAGTGAGTAAAGAAGGGGGTGTACAAGCTGGCGAGAGAATGCCTGATTGTTACTTTAATTTTAATTTCATGACTCTTGCACCTAAATATCTGGGATATTAAAACTATGTGGTCTGTCAGACTTATTACTCTGATTTCCACATTTGCCTTTGCTTAGGAGAGATTCATGTTTTCTGGCCCATTGTGGCAGGCGCCTCCTCCAGGGGTGGCTGTAAGCTCCTGGAGGCCAAAAAAAAACCCTATTTTTTTTTTTTCTACCCTGCTTGCTCTCTGGGGTCAGTCACCCCTTTGTTTATCTGACACGCCTTTGATGTATTTTATGGTTTATAAAAGGGAGGCTGCCCCAAAGCTTCCCAGACCCGATCTCCTAATAACTACCTGGTTTCTGCAGTCATTGCCTTGTTTAAGGGCTAATTGCATGGCTTTGTTTTGCCCCTATAGCGTGTCCCAAGTCTCGCAGGTGGCATCCTTCTCTGATGTTCTCTTTACATTCCCTTCTATAAGCTTTCAGACCCCTTGGTCCCACTCTTAGCCTCTCTCGAGGCCCTTTGAACCCCTTGATCCCTCTCTAGGCCTCTGGACCTTTTGATCATTCTCCCAGCCTCTCTAGGCTACTGGACTCCCAGATCTCATGTGGGTCCTACTTTCTCCCAGTCTCTCTCTGGACTTCTGGACCCTTTTGGTCCTGCTCTTTCCTGAACCCTCACTGGAGCTCTGTACCTTTCTGGTCCCACTCTTTAGACGTGCAGTTATTCCTGTGTACATTGCTGCCAGCCTTTTCTTACTCACTGGGGCCCTGGTTCTTACCCTGCCTTTCTCTGGGCTGCAGGTTCCTAACCAGGTTGTTGTGGTTTTTTGGGGGTTTTGTTTTTGTTTGTTTGTTTTTTCCCAGTAGTAATCCTCTCAACCTTTGGCCCCTCCTGAGCCCCGGCCCTGCGCTGAGCTAGTTGAGGCCTCCAGACCCCTTAACCCTGCACATCACTCCCGGGCTGCTAGTCACTGACTCTACCTTCTGTGCCCTTCGGGCTATGAGTCCCTAGCTTCCCATGCCCTTGCAACCCATTGGCTGGGCCCTGCTCTTTGGCTGTGGCCCCTATCTTTTGGACTCTTGGATCCTCTGATTGCACTCCCAGTCCCTTTCTGGGCCCTGGGCTTGTGGATCCTCTGATTCTTGCTTGCTTGAACCCTCCAAGTATTTTTCTGTCAGTGTGCTTCCCTAGCCTTCCCCCTCCATGGGGTAACCCACAATGCAGTGGGAGCTGGGGTTTTAGGGCACACTATACTCAACCTTCCCTGGGGTTTCTCACCAGTGACACTACTGAGGTTTATGATCATAGTAGTGGGAGAGTGCAGTTTTCGATCTTACAGACGCTTGGGCTATTCTTCCCTAGCTGTCCTTGCCCCTCCTGGGCTAGATTCCTTGGCCTCCTGCTGACGTCATACTTTCCCTCTGGGCTCTCAGACCCACTGGCTTCATTCTCAGTTCCTAGTTTCTTCTGGGCTCATACTTGCCCCTCCAGGCTATGGGCATCCTGCCCCCTCCCTCTCTCTGTTCACAGTAAAGTACAGGCTTCCAACGCCCCTGGCCCAGCTCACACTCGACCCTCTGTGGCTACCCTGTTCTGGTGAGGCCTGGCTGCAGCCCCTCCTGGGACCTGGCCCAGCCAGTTGAGACTTGGGATCCCCATGGCTTGACTTGCTCCCCTTAGGCTCTGTTTCCAGCAGTGGTTCCTCCTGGACCTGCAGCCCTCTCTGGGTCTGGTCTTCAACCCACTATCACTTGCCTGCATGTACAACACTCTCTGCCCAGGTACTACTCCCTTGTTCCCCTAAGCTGGTATGATTGCTTACCCCAGCATCTCAAGAACCTGGCTGTTGTCCTGCTGTCTGGAGCTTCTTCCTTTGTGACTCTCAAGGCCAGACTGCTGTGGGCTGTACTCTCTGTGCTGGCAATCAGGAGCTGGAGCTATCATGCTGAGAAGATGTTCCCCCAGCAGGCTCTGTGGCCTAATGCTGGCTCAGTTCAGGGACCTGGGCTCATACCGGCTAGGGACAGACATTACACGCGAACTGGTTTAAACCTGTAACAGAACAGATGTTCAGTGCACATAAAAAAGTTTGAGAATGTCACGGCGGGGTCCTACAGGAGGGCCATGATCTCCTTAAGGCCCCCTCTCCGTGCCAAGTTGGCCCAAGGGCACCCTCTATTTCTCGCCCGCCACGTCTTTGATGGTTAGATAAGGTTGGGAGGCTGCCTTGCGTCTCCTTGGGCACGGTTAGTTGGGACCTCCATCCCCCTGACTTCCCGGACTCCTCGAGGGTCTCCCTGTATGATGGGTGCTTCCTGGGCACCCTAGCCTTATGGGCTACGTATGGCTCCAACCTCCCCTGATACCACGCCCCAAGCCTCGCAGTTGGGATGGACGCTGGTCTGTCGAATATGCTCGCCCGCTCTCTGGGGCCTCCTCTGTATGCTCTTGACAAAGCTGCCCCTCTCCTGGGGCCTTCTGTGCCCACTCTGGGACTTCTCTAGAATGCTGCCCCTCTCTTGGGGCTCTCTCCCCAATGCTGCCCTCTTCCTAGGGCTCTCTGCGCCCACTCTAGGCATTCTCTGTAGTGTCACCCCTCTCAGGGTCCTTCTCAATAAAGCTGCCCCTCTCCTGGGGACTTCTGTGCCCACTCTGGGACTTCTCAGTTATGCCACCTGTCTCTCAGGCCCACCGCACTGCTACCCCCTTTCTCCAGGGCTCACCACACTACTACCCCCTCTCGCCGGGGTTTACCACACCGTACTCCGCCCTTCTCCAGGGTTTACCGCTGTACTAGGCCTTCCTCAGGGGCTTGCCACGCCCGCCCTGGGGCTTCTCAGTAGTACCCCTTTCTCTGGGGCTCACCATACCCGCACTGGGGTTTCTCCACAGTGCCCCCTCTCTGGGGCTTGCCACGCCCACACTGGGCTTCTCAGTAGTGCCCCTCCTGGGGTTCGCCACGCCCACACTGGGGCTTCTCCATGACACCCCCTGTCTGGGGCTTGCCGGGCCCAGCTTGGGCTCTCCAGTAAGGTTGCCCCCTTTCTGGAGCTCGCCATGACCAACTTGGGCTTCTCAAATGCCCCTCTCTGGGGCTGGGGTCTATGCACCCCATAAGCTGCACCCTTGCTGGCGCCGGGATCCCCACGCTACTGTGGGTCTCCTATGAGTATGCTGCGCCCTCACTGGCGCCGGGGTCCCCACGCTGCTGTGGGTTCCCCCTGAGTATGCTGCGCCCGCTCTGGCGCTGGGGTCCTCACACTTCATTGTGAGTCCCCAATGAGGCCTTCTCCAACCCCTAATAGCCTCGTCCTAGCCACCAGTGTAATACATAACAACACAAACTCGAGCCCCCTGGCTATAACTCAAACACACGCCCTCTGGCTATAACAACATTGCTCAACTCTGGTCAAGCTGTCCTTGCCGTTAGGCTTCTCCTCACATCCTAACTCCAGGAGCTCCTGTCCCTCTGGCTGCTGGGCTTCAGGCCTCTGCTCCTGGGCTTTGAGGGCCAGGCCTTGCCCCTTCTGGTCAGCTGACTTCCTGGTTGCCCCGGGCAACCCACAGCTGTGCTCATTATTCCCTACCAGGGCGCTCTCCCTGGCAGTTTCCCCTCTCTAGGAGCAGGGCACCTCCGTGCTCTGCGACAGAGAAGAACCTGGTTGAATGTAGTGTCAGACTTAACCGATTTGAGTCAAACCAGTTTATGCAATGTCTGTCCCAGACCCCTCGCTGGATTAAATTAAATCAGACTCCCCCAGCATGCTGTCTGGGCTGGGCGGGGTGCTCTGCTCCACAGCAGAACTGGTCCCTCCCATCTGCTCCCAGGCTCCAGCTCCAGCAGTCTCTGCAGGTGTCTGCCTAGCTCAGGGGTGGGCAAAATGCGGCCCGCAGGCTGGATCTGGCCCACCAGGCTATTCTGTCCGGCCCTCAGGGCCCCTAAAAATTCAGAAAATTTAATATATATCTGCCCCTGACTGCCTGTAATGTGGCCCTTGATGGCTTGCCACAACTCAGTAAGTGGCCCTCATCGCAAAAAATTTGCCTGCCCCAGCCTAGCTTCTGCTCCCTCCCCCCACTCTGCTAAGCAGGCATTTCCCCCCCAGTCCCTCACAGACACCTCTCAGCATTAGCTAGCAGGCCACATGCTGGCTGCCTCCAAGCTGTGGCACGCAGGACAAAAATGGAATCAGCAGATAGCTGGTAAAGTTTTCTTAATGGGATGTTTTCTTAATGCGATGATAAACACTGAGTTAGGGGTGATTTAAACCCTTCCTGCTGGGCTGCTCAGGAGTGGGGTGAACCTCTCCTTAATTGAAGTGTCCTGCCAGAGCCTGGCCATACCCCCCTCAGCTGTGGAAGGAAGGGAGGGCTGTTTTAGCATGCCTTCCCCCTCCCCACCCCTTCCAGCTTCTAGCCAGAGCCACTGCAGGCATGTCTGCATTTCTGGGATGTCTGCCTGGTTACAAAACCAGTTCAGCCTAGCCAGGTTAGGCTAACCTGCAAAGATTGAATCAGTTCAGGTTCAGGCTTTTTAAATGTCTGTCCCTAGCCCATAAGTTCAGTACACACTAACCAGTTTCAAAATGGCTGAAACTGGTTTAAGATAAACCTGGTTGAATGCAGTGTCCGACTTAACTGATTTGGGTCAAACTGGTTTATACAACATCTGTCCCAGACCCTCTCCTAGTTCAAGTTAAACCAGAGTCCCCTAGCATCCCAGATGCTTTGCAGCCCTTGACCGTGCTTTCTGTTCCTGAGAACAGGGCTGGGCCTGCCCCTCTTCTCCCTAGCCAGAGCTCTGGCAGAGACTGCAGGTACAGCAGGACCTGCCTGCTATCTCACTGCTCTCCCTCCCTTCCTCCCATTTCCCATAGCATGGACTCCAGCCACATGGACCCTAGCCAGCATGTGGTTTGCTAGCTAATGCTGAGAGGTGTGTGTCTCCAATTTGACTGAGACAGGACAGTGTCCACTTAAGGCTTTTTGGAGCTAATCAACAGGTAAGCTGGTAATATCTCTCTGTTCCTTTCTTGGAAAAAACTGTTTAAGAAGAGCTAGAACTAATGAGACAGACTCTTGTTTTGTTGATGGGGTGTGATAAACTTTGTGGTGTTAGTCCCCTGCTGGCTTGCCTGTAAAGTTTGCTGTAGACAGCATCAAGAAGCAGGGAGACGGAGATTGAAAAGCTCAATATTATCAACAGATGCATGCACTGCACACACCCCTTTTGCCTCGGAGTGCTAGCCCAGGGCTAGGGTCTGGCAACTCTCCCATCCCTTGAGCACCAAGTAGAGAGAGCCTGGGACTGTGCAGGCCAGGGTGGGGGTTTAGACCCTTCCCTAATCAGAGGTCCTGCTAGGGCTTGGCCCATACCCCCCCACTCAGCTCAGCAGTGTGGAAGGGAGGGCTGCTCTAGGGCCCCCCAGCTTCCAGATTGAGCCACTGCAGGCATGTGCCTGCATTTCTTCAGTCCAGAAGAAATGTCTGTACTGTTGAAAACTGATTCAATCTAGGCAGATTAGACTAACCTGCAAAAATTTAATCAATTCAGGCTCAGGCTTTTTGAATATCTGTCCCTAGCCACCCTGTCTAAGCCCAGACCCATCCCTGATCATGTGGCCCCTGGCTGCCTCCTGCCCCACCTGCAGCCTGCTTCAGCTATAGCCTGTCTGCCTGATGATGTTTCCTCTAGGCAGCTTTCTAGATTTTTAGTGCCTGTTCCTTTCTGGGGCCTTGGCTTATCTCCCAGTTAAGCCCAGCCTTTTCCCTAGCCCTCTTTAGCCCCCTCACCACTTGCAGGCTTTTTTTGCAAGCTGGCAGACCCCTTTAAAGGGGAAGAGTCACTATGCAGTGCTACCAATGTAATATTTGTAGGTTTTTCTAACAAGATGGACAAAATTCAAGAAGGTTCATCTCTGAACACATTACTCATGGATTATTCTGTTGGGTGTGAGGGATCCTGGCCCTGTGACCACCCCTTCCACAAATACAGCAGGTCATAGGGGTTGTCTTGAGTTCAGCTTCAGTAGCCTCCAGGGAACTTTTCCAAGATTTCTTCAAAATCTTGTATTAAGAAAGATTGTGAGGGAAATGTTAAGCAGTCTGGAGGAGAAGAGGGATACTTTAACCTTCTCCACCCTCTTCAAAATTAGGTTGGTTTATCCAACTTTCCCCAAAATTTGGGAGACTCCTTGTCACAGTACACGTACTGGACTTCTAGCACATGGTTTGACACTGGCATCAATCCAAACTCCTTCCTAAGCATCCTAGTACTAGGGTTCTGAGTGCAGAATCTCTCAATTCTTACTCCGAGGGCACTGAGTGAGCAGCTGCCGTCCACACCAAACCTGCCTTTGGTACACAATACTCTGATACCATATGACTGTTTTATGTCAGGACTGAGCTGAGATCTCCCACTGTTCTCCTTGTTATTAGCCCAGTATAGTGCATTGGCTGAGCTAGCAACACAAGTCTGTTTGAATCTCTGTTAGTAGCTGCAGATTTACACCTGGTATAGAAGTAGAAATAGAGATCATTGCTGGGATGGCACTGATTGTTAGTTGTGCTCATGAGCAAGGGTAGATTTCAAAGTACTCTGTATCTATTGTTCTACCATTTGAACTTGGAACCGTTAAACTCTTTATGATTCTATGATTAGTGACAAGGCTTCACCTGCTTACTTGTGACTAAGACTAAATTAGTTAAATTCTGAAAGGGGGGTCTAGTCTGTCACAATATTGTATAATCATATGCATGTGCTTTGGCACCACTCCTTGCTTGAGTCACTTCCATTACTGTGCACTAGACAGCGTGACTTTATTGCACCTGCTGGGGTTCCTGCATTAACCACCTGAAGGATTTATAAAGGAGTAAATATGATACTGGTACAGAATAGATCTATGCACAGGAACAATTGAAGGAAAAGGAGTCCTTTCCTTCTACTTCCCATGGAATTTCTCTAGCTCTAGTTGTCATCTTGTCTAGTCAAGGCAGTAAAAT